TGATCCAATCATGAGGGCTGTCCACTTCTGGTTCGCTCGCTTCGCTTAAGGAGCGCGGCCCTCAAAAGCACTCGGTCGGTACTCCTCACGTGGTGGAAGACTCCACCGTTCTTGAGCCTGTCGAGGTTTCGGAGGCTACCGCTCGCGGTCTTGCGACAAGACCCGGATGTACCTAAGTTGTCAAGCGCCCGTGAGCCCTCGGCTATCGAAAAGTTCTGGCTCGATGGATCAATCACACCATGACGGCTATACATCGGTCAGTATCCCTCGTAAAAAGGAGTTCCTAGGAGACTGCTCAGTGGAGATGAGATGATTCTCTGTGATTTCAATCCACATGTACCGTGTGTCCCTTTCATCCCACCATCCAAATCCGGCATGCATTGCGACAAGGTTCTCCTGTGCTGCTTCTGGGACACGAGGGAACACTCAAAACGAGCTGTCCTCAGAAACACATGGTCATCGCTGCCATTTGCGCCGCTTAGCTTCAAAAAGCCGTGGAAGCTGTTGGAGAAAAATGACCGAGACTAGCTTCGGGAGCACCTCGTTCGTGAGGACGCGAGACCCCATACTGCTATGGAGACCTACCAAATAATTGAGGAGCAAGGCTGGGAGACCAGATCCCGCTCATCATATTCTCCTGACGTAGTCCCCTACGACTGCTACCTGCTCCGCCTCCTTAGGCTTTCTTAGCTAAGAAAACTTTCAGCAACTTTGATGACATCAGTCGAGAGGCCGCTGACTTACTCTACTCGCAGCCTCCCAGTTCTGGGAGAAGGGGAATGCTACCTGCCCGTCCATTAGGTGGAGTACTGTAGTGGCTAACAATAAGCAGTAAAGGGGGGGGGGGCAAAAAAAACACTTCGACCGAGTCACATATCAGCAAAGTTTTCGCAGCCCAGACAGGACGTGGATACGAGTACCAGGGCGGAAGATACCCAAGATGTTCCTCGATAAGCAGGAGCTGGCTCTCGCCCATCACCTTCATGTACACCAAAATATGAAGTCATCTCCAGTCGCAGCCTGACTGGAGAAGACCTTTGGAATTCATGTCACCTCCAAACAGCTGCGAACTTCTTAGTCATGGACAGCTACCTGGAGACCGGCACTCTTGATCTGGAAGACCTCCAACATCGAGCAGCTCCGACAACGTCGCTACGGTCCAGGATATCATCTTCACCGCAGTCGCCAAGGCGCGGGTTGATGGTGGACCGGAAGTTCCTGGAATGGGAAGACCGATATTTTCTTCGTGGACCCGGAGAAGTGAGCGCTAATGGTTTCATCGAGCAATTTGAGGAGAATATCCTCCCTTTAATATCCTCCCTTGTTGAGAATATCCTCCCATGTCGTCGCCTGTACCTTCTTGGAAACTTCGTACTGCTACAGGATTGGGTGCCTCCACACGGAATCGAAGGGCGTTGGAAAACTCTCGCCTACTTGTGGAAGGGCGTTGAGTACCTGAAGAAGACGGAATATCTAAGTGCGTCCGTCACCTGACCTAAACCCCTCAATTAGCCGGTTCGGGCGCAGCACGACAGCCGCGTGGCTCATACAGTGGCGGAGAATATCAACGATCTCCGCTGAAACCTCAAGACACCGAATCACGGTCGTCGTGGCAGAATCTCTCGATGGCGCTCGTCCAGAAGGCTGTGGCGGAGTATCATGATAGTATACAATATGCTGTTGAATATGGTGGTGGAAATGTCCAATCAGAATTTGATAAAGTGTAACTTATAGCGCCTTGAAAGTCAAGGAAGAAAAGTGTTTTTTTGCCCTCCTCGCTGTATATTGTATTATAGATTAATTTCCATTGTAAGTTGAGTTAGAAGATAAAAAAAGAAAAATCACAATAGTAACAAGATTCCCTTTTCAACCTGATATTCAGAATCGTTTGACTTATTCTTACCTTGCAAGCACAGCGAGTAAATCCGTGTGATCGACATTTTTATACATAAACTTATTGAGAAACAGTCGCAGCCCATCCCGGAAAGTCTCTTCGCCGACAATGCGCTCAACCATCAGGATAATGAGCATAGCCTATAAACAATCTTGTGCTATTTATTTCTTAAACGTTTTGTTTTTTACTCTATAAGCACCTTTTTGTACGTGTTTGACGTGAACGCAGTTTCTGGATCGAATCCTTCATCTCGTCTGGAGACCGGCACGCTGTTAGGCATCTGGTCATTGCGCATCGCTCGAGCAATATCCACGGATAACTCGTCCTGAAAGGCACAGCTCGGGCTGATCTTGTTTGAGGAGTCAGCCCCTACTATTGCTCCTTTCTCATGGGGCGTCCATTGTTTTTATCGTCTTGCAGTTAGAACGGAAGAGCGCTCCTACGAAGAAGGCTCTGTTCGCAGTTTGGCTTAGGAGGGGCATCTAGCTTTCCCGCTAGTTCCTTGAAATAATTCCTGTTAAACTACACGTAATACTTTGTTGGGACCTGTAGACTGTTGCCATGTGTAAAAGAAGCTCATGCTATTGCATCTTTGCCATAGTTTACAGGCCTTCATAGGTGGCGTCGACAATAATCAGTGGGAATAAGCAGGATGCCCCTTCCAAGCCGGACGGCGCTAAACGCTGATAAGAAGTATTACTTACTCGACTTAGCGGTGAATTGCTGATTATGTCGGTCGCTTTGAGACCAATCATGGAGGCAAAACCTTCGTTAAGCCACAGATCGTCCCACCATTTCATCGTCACCAAATTGCCGAACCACTGGAAAACTAGCGTAAGATGGAAAGATGGGTGTGAAATTGGTGTAAATTAGCAGCACTTCATATCCTTTCATAATTTTTTGTAT